AAAAAAAGTAGAAACCAGCCATCCAGTTATATGCCCAGATAGAGTTGTTTCGGTGGCCATATATGCACATGTGATTTTACAGTGTACCACACAGTTGTATCTCCCATCTGTATGCATGTTCCTCAGCAGAATTACAGCCACAAAGGTTATTCCTTGGGGCTGGAGAGATGGCTCAGTAGTTATGATCTCTGGCTGCTCTTCCAGAGGATCAAATTTCCAGGACCCACATGGTGACTCACAATCACTGGAAAATTCAGTCCTAAAGATCTGACACCCTCTTCTGGTTTCTCAGGGGACCAGGCCTGCAAGTGGTGCATATGTAAGTAAAACACCCATGTAAGTAAAACAATTTTCTTTTTCGAGACAGGGTTTCTCTGTGTAGCTTCGCGCCCTTCCTGGGACTCACTTGGTAGTCTGGGCTGGCCTTGAACTCACAGAGATCCGCCTGGCTCTGCCTCCCGAGTGCTGGGATTAAAGGTGTGTGCCACCATCGCCCGGCATAAAACAAAATTTTAAAATCTTTTTTAGAAGCCAATATTAATACACATAAAAATTTTATAAAAATCTAAAAAACACTTTTGAAAAAAATTGTTCCATGAAATGGTTCTAGTTGGAAAAAGAGGTTCAGTGGGAGGGGGATGAGACAGGGCTATGGGGTGTGTGAAAAATGACCAAAACACATTATATACATGTGTAAAATTGTCAAAGGGAAAAAAATGAAAATGAATTGTGATTAAGACTAGTTTTTTTAAAAAATGGTTTTTCTTGTGCCCCCTCCCTCCCAAGACAGGGTTTCTCTGTAGTTTTGGTGTCTCTCCTGGATCTCACTCTGTAGACCATGCTGGCCTCGAATTCACAGAGATCCGCCTGGCTCTGCCTCCCGAGTGCTGGGATTAAAGGCGTGAGCCACCATGCCTGGCATAAGACTAGTGATATTTAATGGCAGATTAACATTAATATCATATGTAGTGCTTTTTGTATGTGTGTGGTGTGCATGTGTGTTGTAGGGCTATTATCACTGTGATAAAACATATAACCAAAGCAACTGGAGAGGGGTTATTTGGCTTACACTTCTACATCACTGTTCATCACTGGAGGAAGTCAGGACTCAAGCAGGGCAAGAACCTGGAAGGAGAAACTGATGCAAAGACCATAGAGGAGTGCTGCTTACTAACTTGCTCCTCAAGGCTTGCTCAGCCTGCTTTCTCATAGCTCCTAGGACCAACAGCCCAGGGGTGGCCCCACTCAGGATGGGCTGGGCCCTCCCCCATTAATCAGTAATTAAGAAAATGCCCTACAGGCTTGCCTGCAGCCAATCCTATGGATGACATTGTATCTTCCTCTATAGCTGTCCACTTATTCATTGAGGAAGGATCTTTCAGTTGAGCCCAGAGCTCAGTAATGCTTCTGGTCTGGCAAGCAAGCCTGATTTGGGGTTCCTCTCTGCCTTCCAAGTGCTGGAATTATATGCAGCTCACCAGTTTTTGATGTGGGTTTTGAGGATCTGAACTCACGTTTCCTCAGGCTTGTACAGTGTTTTATCTGATGAGCCATTTCCCTAGCCCAACAAATGTTTCTAAAAATTGCAAGTTAAACTGGGCATGGTGGCACATGGTTTTAATCCCAACACTCAGGAGGCAGAGTTAGGAAGATCTCTAAGTTTCAGGTCACCCAAGACTACACAGTGAGAAGACCCTGTCTCAAAATAAACCAACAACTTTCCCCTCAAAACAACTGGACACTATATACAGGCCTAGGTCAAAGAATCTTAAATTCATTGATGAATTTTTATCAAATTCTATCAACATTATCTTTTGGACACTAACTTTGTGTTTCTCACGCAAAAACCTCTCTGGTTCTGTTTCACATCCCATTTGTGTGGTCAAAACTAGCCTGCTTTAAAGGATGGTTTTCTTGTCCTGTAGTCTCAGAAAGACCATAGTACAAAAGGCTCCTCGATGTATTCTTTCCATAATTGTCATAATTGTCTGCACTGGGCTGGAGAGATGGCTCAGTGGTTGAAAGCACACACTGCTCTCCTAAAATTTGGTTCCCAGCATTGGGCAACTCACAACTGCCTGTAACTCCAGTTCCAGGGGGTATGCATTTCTTGGCTTCTGTGGGTACCCGCACATATAGACACAAAAATAAAAACCTTAAAAAGCAAAACTATAACTTTTGCTTCTCCTGACACTAATCTTCCACTCAGAATTCTTTTTTTTTTTGGGTTTTTTTTTTTTTTTTTTTTTTTTCAAGACAGGGTTTCTCTATGTCGCTTTTGGAGCCTGTCCTGGATCTCACTTTGTAGACCAGGCTGGACTCAAACTCACAAAGATTTGTCTGGCTGTAGATGTAACCAATTGTCTTATTAAAATAAGAAACACAGAGTCAATGTAAAAGAGAAAGCCGAGGGGTCAGAGCTCAGAGATAAAATCTTACCTCCTGCAGTGCTCCTAACTTCCCTGAGAGAGAACTTCTTCCTGTTTGTCTTTAAATAGTCTTTCTGTTCTGCCTTCTCATTGGTTGTAAACCCAACCACATGACTGCCTCGTCACTGCCTGTAAGTACCGCCCTCCAGGTCTTAAAGGCGTATGTCTCCAATACTGGCTGTATCCCTGAACACACAGAAATCTACCTAGCTCTTCTAACCACCACGCTCTTGCTATGGCTCTAATAGCTCTGACCCCAGGACAACTTTATTTATTAACATAAAATTAAAATCACAGTTCAGTACAAATAAAATATCACCATATCTGGCTCTGCCTCCTGAGTGTTGGGATTAAAGGCGTGTGCCACCAGCGCCCGGCCCACTCAGAATTCTTATGCTGTCCTCTTTTGCTGCCACACCTCAACCTGTAACAGAATGCCTTTCCTACTTTTTGTTATTTTCTAGATCTCACAGAGATCCACCTACCTGTGCCTTCTGAGTGCTAGGATTAATGGTGTGCACTGTACTGTCCCTTTCCTCCTTGGTTAGTGTCTGGCCCAGGCCCAGGGATGTACTCTGAGAAGCTTGCACTCTAACAGTGTCCCTGTTTGCACGTGCCTCTGCTGTGTTCTCACTAAACCTTTTCTTCAGCACTTCTCTCAAACGGTCTCCTTATCACACAGGAAACCACCAGGGACAAACCATCCCTTCCCTTTCACAGTAGGTACCAGTTAATTCTTGCAGGAGTCTTCAGCTTCCCCCATGTGAAGTGATGGCTCTTGATGACCGGCTGTTTTCCTCCAGAAAAAAATTTAGAGGTGCTAGCTTCTGTCCATCACCTGGTGCCAAAAAGTACTTCCCAGAGCCAGTTTCATATCCTCGTTCAACAATAGTGAAAGACAAATTAAGTCCAACTAGCATAACCCTATTTCTTGAAGAACTCCCACCTACAAACTACAGCATGTGAGTGATGTCCTTGAACTTGGTATGTATCTATGGTGGCCTTAAACTGACCCTCCTGCCTCCACTTCCCAAGTGCTGGGATTACAGGTTTGTACCACAATTCCTAGTTTGGAATACTGGTGTATTTGTGTGTGTTCGCATGTGTAGAGGGCAGAGGACAACCTCAGGCATTGTTCCTCAAGTGCCTTGTGTCCTCTATTTGCTATTTTTATTTGTGTATTTGTCTCTGTGAGTGTATGTAGGTCTCAGTGGCCACAAGACAGCTTGGATACCTTGGAGCTACAGTTACAGGCAATTGTGAGCTGCCCAACATGGGTACTGGTACCTGAACTTGGGTCCTCTGTAAGTTCTCTTAACTGCTGAGTCACCTTTTCAGCCTTTCTCCTTCCATTTTTCTGAGACAAGGTCTCTTAATGGGGCTGAGGTTTGCCTTTGGGTTGAAATGGTGGGTGAGCCAGCTCCAGGGATTTGTTGGTCTCTTTCCTTCCAGCACTGGGATTACAAATGTGCCACCATACCCAACTTTTCACATGGTGCTGGGGACCAAATATGGGTTCTCATACTCATGTGGCATGCACTTTACCAACCTATTTTCCCAATCTTTAAATATTAAAAACAGAATAGTGTGTGAGGGGTGGTGGTGCATGCCATGGCACATATGTGGATGTCAGAAGACAACCAACTGCTGGTTCAGTCTTCTCCTTTTTTTTTTTTTTTTTTTTTTTAACATGGATTCTGAGGATGAAACTCAGGTTGCCACTTATACAGCAATTCCCTTTACTCTCTGGGCATTCTGCTGGCCCTGGGATATTTATTTTTAAAGAGACTCAATACTCAGCCCAAGGAATGAAGGCAGAATGCCAAAGTACCAGACATTATTATTATTATTTTTTTTAAAGACATATTGATTCCCACCAGTCAGTCCTTGCCAGATTCTTAGAAATAAAACCAGGGAGACTAAAAACCAACTAATGAACCAGGGAAGTAAATGTAGCCAAGAAAGGTAGGACATTTTATTTTACATACAAAAAGGGTGCAAACTGAGTCCTTTCCTCCCCAAACTGGGAAGAGGTATACTTAAAATCACATTTGTGTTGTCCATGACGCCCTATGAAATGGGCTACTCTGAGATAACACATCCAGACCCACATTCCATTTTCCCCAAAGGCTATTTCCTCTGCAGAGGAGTTCTCCTCAATGGTGTCCACATCTCTCTATTGGAGGAAACATTTCAAATACACTTGAAATCGACATTCATTTAAAAAATACTACAAGTTTCATTCTTCACAGCTGCGTTTTTTTTTTTTTTTTGACCAGTGCCAGGGTTTATGAAACATTATCTTTAAAAAAAAGTAAAAAAAAAGGCATTTAACAATAACTAGACACATCCACACATGAATTAAAATTGATTTCCACAGCTGATTTATACATTATCTACTTTTAAAAAATTGCAACCAACATCCCAACATCTTTTAAAGAGTACAATGGGTAAAACTTAAAAAAGACAATAAATTAGAGAGTGTAATCTATCCAATGGGAATTGCTGCATCAACATTTCTTTCCATTGGAGTGTTGGAGCATTTTTGGTTTCGTCTTTTCTGTGGTTCTCTGCTTGATAAACAGGGCTCCTTCCCAGAGTCAGCCTGCTCACTGAACTGAGCAGCTCACACTTGTCACACTGTCTCTGAGAACACTGAGGAACACACAGTTCCCAGGAGCCTGTGCTGTCTATGAGAGTAAAACACACACAGATGAGCACATATATCCATCTGTAAATACATGTATCCTCCAAGAAATGGCTCATGTTTCCTGAGACATTCCTAACAGATTGGTAAGCCTTCTAAAAGGCTTTGGTGCATGGGCTGGCCTGGGATTTGGTCTAGAGCTCTTGAAGAGGGGAACCAAAAGGTTTCACCTACCCTGGAAGGTGAGTTTGGGTTAGTCAGGATGGCAGTCGTCTGTGCATTGCTGGAATGACTGCAATGCCCTCTGGCTTATGACCACAGATAATCCTCTGCTCTGAGACCTTAAAGGTGGTGATGGCACCAGACAAGTGATTGTGATGGGGGGCGGGGCAGGGGCAGGGGATGGGGGAGGGTAGACAGAGAGAGAGACAGAGAGAGAGAGACAGAGAAATATCCTGTCTATACAACCGAGGTTTCTTTATAACATCAAGTTTGGTAATTCAACTAGAGATATGTGGAGTACACGTTCACTTTTTTTTCCCTTGATAAGCTGATCTGTAAATACTGGAGTGGGTTTCCTGGTTGTTGTTGTTGTTGTTTTTTTGAGAAAATATGTCAACTACTATTAACTATATTCAGGGATCTACTTACTATTTTGATACAATAAGAACTCTATTCTTCTGTACTTAGTTACCTGCAAAAGGAGTAGGACAAACACCTTAAGACTGGTTATTGGATCAGACTCCCAAGACTGGTGATGAAAACACTGTTCAGAACTCTACAAACTCACAGAAGGACCACAGTGGCCTCTTCTTTTTCATACTCAAAAACTAACCTCCTTAAAACAAAGTCCCCCAACAAACAAAGGAATTCTTATCTGAGTCCTACCAACCCATTATGGGGAAGGCTGGAGTTATTGGCCATCAACATCTACATGGGACTTCCTTGAAGTCTGCAAAATCAAGAAACCCAGAGATAAGTGCTTGTCACCCACATGGCCAATCCAGATGGGGACCTAATTACCCTGGCTCCCTGAGGGTCCCTGGAATCAAGCTGCCCACTTAGGGGCAATGGAGGGGATGGTGGCAGTGGCTGGCAAAGGCAATGTCGGTTGTATGACCATGCAAACCCCTGGTCTTAAAAACTCAAGCCCTGGCATGACTGACACTGGACAAAGCATTACCAGGGCAACTAAACAGGAATGGAAAACTGGTTTCGGTATGAGCATGGAAGAGGTGGCTGGGACACAGGAGTCATGTGGGCTTGGGAGACCAAGTTCCTCTGAGGAAATGCTTTCTAGGCTTCTGAGAAAGTTCTTCTCGAGAAGTGCTGCTATGTTTGCTCAACACGGAGGGGAATGGATTATCTTTTACATTGTTTTTTAAATTAAGGCTATGATCCTTAGCAACCACTTTAACATAACATTGCCATTGCTGTATACTTCTGGCATTACAAGTGGTTGCTAACATTGGACATCAACACTACATAAGCACTACAGCATACTTTTCCTCTGAACTAGACTGGAAGTTATTTTACACAAGATGGACACCATCTGGCTAATGGACATGGGCTGATTCCGAGTTCTTGTCCTTCACTAAAAAGGAAAAGGAAACACACTTTCAGAAACTTTAGGATCCTTGCTGTCTCCTGTAGCTTGTTCCAATGGAAATGGGAATTTTAACTGGAGACTTACCTACTCACCTAATTTACACATACCTTCACAGACCCTGTTTGCTCCTAGACAGACCCAAAATAGAAGAATGTTAATTAAGGCAGTCATGACTGCTCACTAGCTGCTGGCACATTCAGCGCAGCCTTGTGGGCAGTCTGGAGTGAGAACTCTGAAAATCCACTTCTATGATTGGACACTTTACACCTTGGTGTAACCTCTGGCCTGCTTCTACCCAAGTCTGCTCAGGCTGCAATGCCTCGAGGACAGCAAAGTTTGAGGAAATAAAACTCCGAATATTACAATATCAAATGCCCCTGTCCCTGGAACAGATGAATTAGTTTTAAGGGGAAGTAAATGCATCAATCCTAAAGAAAACTGTCCTCAGGTGTCAAAACTGAGATAGAGCAAGTGGATTTACATGAGGGGAGATGGAAGGAGTGCCTGTGCCCTGGGATCTGGCTGAGCTTGCAGCCAGGCAACCGACAGAAACAGGGATGTGTATGGAGCCTGACGTACTAGTGGGGCTGGAACAGATGAGCAGATTGTTTCTGGGGAATTCAGTATGTTTTAATTTTAAGGAAGATCTTAAGAGAATTGCCCAGCTTTGGGACCACCTTAAGAGTGTCAATGGCCTTGAAAGGTCACCACCGCCCTGCATGTTAAAGGGACCTTTGCTACAAAAACCAAATATCTAGTAAGGGATTTGTGGGGGCTGGAGGGTGCCAGCAGTGCATTAGGAAGGACCCTTTCCCATTCCCACAAACCACTCAAGTTCAACCCCTCAAGAGCTAGCCTATAAAAATATTTTAAGACAAAAAAGGAGTCTTAGGCCCAGCTGCAGGGCACCCTACCCTGCAGCCAAGCTGGTCACCGCCTTTGCTTTATTGTGGAAGCAGGGTTGGGGAGGCACTTAGTGGGACAGAGAGTGCCAGGATGCTCTAGGCCTTGCCACCATTTCCTGGGATGAGGACTTTTACGTTTCTGTGGGGGAAGTCAGAGTTGCCCACATGCCAAACTAGGGACTATGTAAATTTCAGCGATGAGCTTTAACTACTACATAATGAAAAAGAAGCAAATCCTAACACTCAAATTCCTTATGGGGAAAAGTGGTTTGACCTGACTTTTCCCCGCTACTCTGTTTCATGGACAAAGATATTTCTTGTAAAGAAATGGACAGGTGGCAATCTTTACAAATGCTGAACAGGTTTGAAGCCAATGAAGAGAGATTCCCTAGTCAAGGTCCAACAGAACAGGCAAGGTGAATAAACTCTGCTTCATTTGATACTATTTCTGATACATGTCCACAAAGAGCCCTGGCATCCCCCAGTCCTTTACATACATACACAGCAGAGTTCTCTGCTGCACTAAGTCACTAGCCAATGCCATGTGGGTAGCTCTATACACCCAGATACAAGACCTCTTTGCCCATGTGAATAATCCTTGCCACACTAGGGTAAGAAGCCACTGTTTGGAAATGCCACTAAAATGAAAACAGAACATGAGAAGAGTAAGCACCATACTGTTAACTATGCAACCAGTGATGCTTCATGGTGGTATGTCCAGTGAGGACGTATGGTGGTGGGCAGAGAGTGCAGTGGGGAAAACATGCTAATATATGGCTGTATTATCTGGGAAGAGTCTCTGTTCAATTGTTAAGATAGAATTTTAGACCTTTCATTACAGTTTCCTTTTCTCTGGAATTTCCCAGCATCAACCAACCTTCCCTTCCCTGCTTACTGCAGCCTCATGTACCAAGTTCTAAGCCTGCTGCTATGGACCTGCTCCAAGATCACCACAGACTTAATTTCTAAGGCAGACCAGCCTAGATGCTCTAATTTAGTCTTGGGGCGGACATGACATACTGATTTTCTTTTCCTGGCCCTAAGATGCTGCATCCTGAGGCTTCTCTGGCAGTTGGAAGGCAATTTGCTGCCCTCTTTTGTCCACTACTGGCAATATGGTGGTGGCTGTTTAGTCACTAATTTTGTCCTCCAAGTCAACAGAAAGTCACATGGCTATCTAGTAGGAAGTCCCTGGCAGTGGAGGAAACAGACATTTTGCTTTGTTGTTGTTATTAAGTATTTCCTCTCTGAGATGAGGTGCCTTCTGGTTGGTCACAGTCTGGCTCGGTGCTCATCCCAAGTGTTCAGGAGCTGGGCTTTCAAGCTCTAGGCTGATTAGGTCAAAGGGATCTGGTGGGGACTTTTCTCTGCAGCGGAGAAGATGAATGAAAATTCAAGTATGTTTCCTTGCCAACCTGAGAATTCACTCAGGATGACACAGAGTTTGGCTTCTTCTCTTCCATGTGCTGCAAATCAGACTCTTTCCATCATGAATATCCTCTGGACCCACATTTTCTCTGAATGGCTTGGCTGGCCCATCCCCCTTGAAACAGAAAAAAGCACCCCCCCCAATATAACCAGACACAATATGCATCTGCCATGTTGTTTATAAAACAAAAACAAAACCCCAAAAAACTAAAAGTGCAATAAAATCAGTTTCCTTTCCTTTGCTCAGAACCACAGGCTTGTTTTGCTACAGTCGGAGCAAGGGATTTGCTCATCAAAAAAGCTAAGAACGCCAACACACAGGGACAGTAGACTGCAGATTTCTCACAGCTTGTGTCCTACAGTGTAACTTCACGGGAGGGAGGGAGGGAGGGAGGGAGGGAGGAAGAGGAAGCCTTACTTGTAGACACACCTGGGAAGTGGAGAAGCCCTCCAGCCCAGGCTGCCATCTCCCTCCGACCTTCCTGGCCACACCACCAGCTTCTTGACCTCTCCTTTAACTTCGTAGTTCTTATGCTGGAGAGGTTGAGGGTGGTGCAGAACCAGGAGTAAATTTAGGAAGAGGAGGAAGAGAACAGTAGTCCTTGAGTTTTTGTGAATGACACCTTCACTGTAAACAATGGGAAGAGAGTCAACCAGAGAGCCCAGGGCAAGCAGTGGAGAAGCAGCAGCTCTGGACCCGCTCAGAGCTCAGCCAGAGGGATCGCCACTGGCCCACTTGGCCCTGGCTGCCTGCACTGGCTCCTTCTGGGGGCATCTGTCTTCTTCTTTTTGGTTTGGATCTCCACCCTCCCCCACAGAGGAGTCCTTTCCAATGAGAAATGGCAGGAGCTGCAGGTGCAATTGGAGCCAGAGTCCCCAGGACTTGAGGACTCCTGGGAGGCACTGGTCACTTGTGTCGCTGAGCAGTCTTCTTCCTTTTCCTCTTAAAGAAACAGCAGCACCTGGAGCACAAGAACGTTTAAGTCAGTCTAGAAGTTTCCAGCTCCAAGTAGATCTCTGCCTGCTTCTGCTTACTGCAGGGGGTAGGGTTGTTTTATGCTGGTGCCCACCCAGATGGCCGCCCATCATCTTCGGCACACATACACTGAAAGTAACAGGCAGCGTCTGTCAGAAGTTCAAGGCAACATCTGATTGCAGCCATTCCACCCAATTAGCAAAATGCTGCCCACTAGACATGGCTGCCACAGACATTCCCGATGAAGGGTGAAGAAGGCTTTGTTCCTAGACTACCATCAAACCCAGATACTCCATCTTTGTCTAGAACCAAGATGGAGGGTGCTCAGGGTAACTTGGAAATAGCCTGCACTGTATGCCCCTTGATAACAGCAGCTGTTCAGTGCAGCTCACTAGCCAGCAGGCAAGGGCTAAACTGAGGCAAATCAATCTCACACAAAGTAGGATATCTAGAACCTTGGCAGTCACAGGATGCCAAAGGACTAAAGACTTTCTATCTTGTTCTTGGCCCCAACATGATGCCTGGAGTAAGCAGAAGCTCTAGTTCATAAAGGGTAAATCTTTATCTCCTGACAGCAGAACAGGTGCCAATCACCCCAAGGGGACCAATGCCCAAAGCCCAGGAGCTAATCCTCAGGAAACTCTGGTCACAGGGAATCCCCTACTTAGTTCCCTAAGACTGCCACTGTTCCAGACAGGGTTAGCAACTGGTTTGTTTAAGGTGGAGGCTGAGGCCCCCCCGAGTGCCATGTCTTGGGGGAACAGCCTGCAGAAGAGTGGCAGCACTGGTCTACCCTAACCCTGAAGATGCCCTCCTTACTCCAGCCTTTGGACCAGGAGGTGTGGCTGTTGCTCAGGCACTAGAGAAGGGGATGTCAAGGGAGATGGCGAGGTTGATGTAAAAGGTATGTTCTTTCTAGAAATGTCAAATGGAAAATTAGGAGGTGGGCAGAAGGCAGTGGATGAGTCAAAGATGCCAGATGATGGAGGAGAATAAAGTTGTAAGTAGAGCTCAGAAGCTTGATCCTTGAAAGACGACTTTTTCTGAGAAAACTATCTTAAGTCTCTCAGCTAACGCTTCCAGGGTTCTTTAAAATGACTTTTATTACTTTATGTTATGAGTATTTTGCCTGCATGTATGTCTGTGCACCACATTGAGTGCCTGGTGCCCACAGAGGCCTGAAGACGTCAATAGATTCCTGAGGACTGGACTTACGGACAGCCGTGAGCTGCTCTGTGGTTGCTGGGAAGGGAAACTTGTCTGGAAGTCGTCTGCAAGAGCAGCAGGCGCTCTTCACTTCTGAGCCCTCTCTAGCCCACCTCCTGGGCTTCAGTGCAAGGACACTCATGAGAAACAGACACCACTGCTCCCTTTCCACCTCCTACGTCCTCCCCTGCAGCTGATCCCTCCTTTCAGACCCCTTGTGTTACTGTCTTTTCTAATATTTTCATCACTAAAAATCTGGATAAAGTTTTTTCTTTTATCTTTTGAGACTGGGACTCATTATTATGTAGCCAAGGCTGGCTTCAAATGTACAATCCTCTGGCCTCGGTTTCCCAGAGTTCTAGGATTTAGACTGAGAAAGTTTCTTAGAATGAAGAAATAAACATTTACACAGACAGCAATGTGAGCTTTCCAAGAATTGAAATTCATGAATGAAATGTGGAATTTTCAGACAGGAGTTCCTTCCTTCCTTCCTTCCTTCCTTCCTTCCTTCCTTCCTTCCTTCCTTCCTTCCTTCCTTTCTTTCTTCATTTCCCTTCCTCCCTTCCTTCCTTCTTCAAGACAGGGTTTCTCTGCATAATAGTCCTGGAACTCACTTTGTAGACCAGGCTGGCCTTGAACTGACAGAGAGCCGCCAGCCTCTGATTCCTGAGTGCTGGGATTACAAGGGTGCACCACCACTGCCCTGGCAGACAGGGGTTTCTTCAGAGTCTTACAATATTTTCTTCAGAATCTGGCCATGGCGACGCATGCCTGTACTTCCAGTGCTTGACAGTGGAAGAAGGGCGAAGAGCCCAGAGTTATTCTTGGCTACTTATCAAATTTGAAGCCAACCTGGACTATAGGGGGCCTTGTTTCAACAGGTACATAGACTGTGTGTGTGTGTGTGTGTGTGTGTGTGTGTGTGTGTGTGTGTAGCCCTGTGTATATCAATAACATTTATAAGTACTATTAATAGGTGTGAACCAAAGTGGTAAATACAACTGGAAACTGAGTAAGTTATTTTAAATAAAAATGATCGCTGTCTTAAAATAGTCCTTAATGGAAACATTGGGGAAGAATTCAAGAAAAAAAATCTATACATATGTATTAGAAATGAACTTTTTTTTTTTTTTACAATTTTTTATTCATTTTATATGTATGGGTATTTTGTCTGCATGTATGTCTATGTACCATGTATGTGCCAGGTCAGAATATGGTGTTGGAACACTGGGACTGGAGTTAGAGATGGTTGTGAGTACTACTATGTGGGAGCTGGGAAATGAAACTGTTTGCTCTGAAAAGGCAACCAGTGACCTTAACCACCGAGCCATCTCTCCAGCCCCAGAAACATAGACATTTGCCAGATTGAATGTCCAGAACCTAGTATTTAAGTAGACAAGTCAAATCTTATGAAGAACTAGTATTTCAGCAGTCTTAAAAAAATTTATTTATTTATTTTATGTATGAATGCTCTACCTGCATGTACACCTTTATTCCAGAAGAGGGCATCAGATCCTACCATAGATGGCTGTGTGCCTCCATGTAGCTGCTGGAAATTGAACTCAGGACCTCTGGAGTGCAGTCTGTGCTTTTAACTGCTGATCCATTTCACCAGCCCATCAGTCTTACCTGTTTCAACTATGATTTTCAGTGGATTTACTGACTCTAAAATTAACCTCTATTCTTACTTTCTGTGTGGAGGACCCTAAGATGATGACTTTTATGTTTTCAAATAAAAATGTTAAAAAATAAAAAACAAAAAACAAAAACCATCTGAAATACTGGGCCCATTTCTAAGTGTCCAGTGGATTCTCTTACTTCCTCCAGGACAATCCATAGGAAGTAGCCTGCCCTTCTGCTGAACCAGTGCAGTGTACATGAGCAGAAGCTGTCATTCAGAGAACAGCAGCCATAGTTTGCATTTAGAGCCCTATACAGCTTCAGCAGGAGGAGAAGCTTTTAATTCCACCAACAAGGAAGGGGACCCCACAATCTGTTCTTAAAGGCTTCGGTTTCTATGGTGACCACCAGTAAAAGGATCTGGACTTGAGGCCAAGTCTACCAGTAACTCTGTACAGATATGCTCCTCTCAGAACAGGGTACGGACAAATAAGTCCCTTTGTGTCTTAGGTTCTCTTCCAGTTAATCCTTTACGAGTGACAGCCGAAACTGATCCAGGATTCTCCACACAAGCCATCAAACACTTGGCCACAGGCCTCTAACCTGACCCTTGCCTTCTTCCTGTTATTCCTGTACCATGTCATCTCTGCAGTCTCCTTGCGGTCTCTCTTCTTTATCACACTCTTTTTCTCCTCCTCTGCACTCCAACTGGCTCAAGTCGGCTGTGTCTAAGAAGTCTTCCTTGAGAACTCACAGGGATTCCTCACCCCTCAGTCTTCCGGGAACAGCATGAGAACTCTGAAGAAGGCCCTGCCTTTTACAGTGTATGACTCACTTTACAGCCAGGTGACAGTCACCTCTTGGGCAGGGCCCCCCTTCACGTGCCCTGTTCTTCCCTGCTACCCCAGATCCCCGACTTCTGTGCACAAGGTTGGATGAGCACAGCAGGACCTAAAGTATTCACAACTGGGATCATGTGACTGACACCTCACAGAAAAAAACAAAAAAACAAGACCATGACAACGTTAGATTACACAGACACATGAATAGACCAAATGTCCTCTTTGAAACCCTAACACTACCAATCATATTGCCATAAAACCCAACTGTCATCTTCAATAAATATCTATTCCTAGGCAAACCCCCGTGGACAATTTGGCTTAGTCAGGGTTCAGAAAACAAGGTCCATTCCAGTTACTGAAGAGAATTTTTCAAAATGAAGTAGTCAGAATCCAGCAGGCTATTGTCATAGCATAGACTATGACCTGATGTGCACAAACAGGGAGGGAGAGTTACAGACTGTCACTAACATGAATCCCTCAGCGATTTCCCTCCCACATCCCCGTATACCCTACATTTGTATTAAAGAAGCCTTTTCTGGAAGAAAAGACAGGCTCCCATAGCCCTGTCAACCAAGTCAACCCTTAACCCACTATACTCTCATCAAAGAAGAAAGGGAACAAATAAAAACCAGCAATGTCCAATCAACACCAAAATGTTGATTTTTTCTTTCAAGGAGCTCTCCTTTCTGAGAGACTCTTACTATAGATGAAAAATTAACGAAATCAACAAGGCATTTACAGATTTCCTCCAAACAGCCTACTTCTGCATTTCAAACCAAGCTGCCAAAGGTGAGATTATCTGGTGGTTATTGAAACATCTAAAACCTTATCTTTCTAATCTTGGTCCCTCTCCTTCTGATACTATTAGTCATAACTTGGGAGAAAAAAGTTCACTCATCCAAAAAAAAAAAAAAAAAAAAAAGAGGCAAGTTTAGATAATTGTGAGGTAATTTTTGGTAGGAGGGTGCAGTGATAATGAGGTGGGATTGAAAGAAAAGAAGGAAAAGATTGATTTTTGGGTACAGGCCTGCCTCACCCCACTCTGTGGACCTAATTCCCCCAGTCTGGGCGGCTAAGACATAAGGAGGTATATGGATTTCAGTCAGTGTCGCTAATACTCTGCAATCCCAGTCTAGACAGGTCCGCTCCCCTTGCATGTGGACTGGAGAGAGGGACTCACCACAGGTTGAGCATTTTCAGGCAGCTACAGAGTATATAAGGAGAAAAACACAGAAAAGGAAGAGAGAGAGAGAGAGAGAGAGAGAGAGAGAGAGAGAGAGAGAGAGAGAGAGAGAGAGAGATATTAGTCCGCGGATGAGATGGAAGTGGCTCCCTGTGAGCATGCACACATGCAGTACGTGTCTGTGTTTAGTTCCCTCCTGCTGAGGGAGGCTGAGCAGGCCACTTGGCCTTCACACTGAACAGGAGGCAGAAGCCCGACAGGATGATCAGTGTGGGAGCTGCATCTCAGAGGATGCAGAACAGAAAGAGTTGGTGGAAGCCTCAGGGTGGGCTTTCTAGGAAAGCAGTGACCTGGCCTGTGGGGACTCAAGCAGGAAGGCTGAACCATCTGGCTTCACACCAGGTCTTGTACAATGCTTAGCTAACTTCCATACTCCAGTTCAAAAAGCAGCAGCTAGCACTGAGCCCTTCGTAGGAAAAGCTGAAGAGATACTTTATCTTATTAGAAGATGAAACAGAGGGAATTTACCACTTCGAAATAAATACTAGGGAAGGACCTAAATTCTAATCACACTAATTCTCAGGAGAAACTGGGCCCACAATCATCAAGATATAGCCAAAGTATAGATAATAAAAATTCTTATACTCTTACTATCACAAAAATTGACCTAAAAATCATCTGCCCTCACATTCCTCCAACCATACTTCAACAAAAGTTGTCTTATACCTAAAAGAAAAGGGAAGTCAAGTGTCCATTTTTTTTTTACACTGATCAAAACCCTCATCCTGTGATTTTTGTTCTGCCTTTACATTTAACAAGCTGGGAAAAGGAACCTAAAACCAAAAGCTTGGAGGTAAAGATTTCACACTTTCCCTGTACTTGAGTTTAACTACAATAGAAGCAACAGCCCTTCTTATCCCATCAACAGGCTACATGAACAAATGGCACCATAGCTGTGTGTAATGAGGGCATGTTTGGGGGGACCTCATGTGTCTCTAGCTTTGACTTTTCCATGAAAATGATCTAGTGGATATACGGCTATCGTGTCCTTACTCCCACATATATCAACACAGATATACCATGTGCACATGGCTGTACCCTGACAGTTCCCTAGGCAAGATAGATTGGTAGCTCATGAAACCACTACAAAAACCAGTATACAAAATGCCCAAGCAAGGCTTTGAGTGACAATTGTCCAAAGACAACTGTTCCATTTAGATTCTACACTTTTCAGAAGGCCTAAACCTGGAGTTGGAGGCAAGAGGTATAATAGTCCTTTCTGCTAAATGGGAAGACTTTAATCTCTCTTTATATTCTAGTGTTTAGAATACGACAGAACAGAACACACCTGATTGAACTCTTTCTGTATGAATGGCCTCTATCTTTCACATTGAACACAAACACCACACTCACACACAGTTAGTATATACATTTACCAAAATGAAATGAAATGAATAGGTCCAAAATATAAATCTGTTTAGGGCCTAAGACTAAAGGTCAAAAGAACTTGGTGCTCAAAGTATAGTATTAGATTCAGATCTGAATTTCTAAAGAGCAGGTACAAATGTGAAATGGAGAGTGGGGTGGGGTGGGGTGGAAAAAGGTATGGCTCTCTTTCAAGATCAGAGCATGCAGAGTGTGGTAGTTCCCAATTTTGCCTGCATGTTAGAATTCCCTAAACTTTTACATATTTTCATTATCAGGCCAAATACTAATCAATTAATCTCAAATTTCTGGGTCCATGCAGAAGTATTTGTATTTTCTAACATACTCTAGGAGATTCCAAAGTGAGAGTTCAGGAAGTGGGAATACCATATAATTTATGGAGAACGGAAGAAAAAGTTATAGGCACCATTAAAATCTCCCAAGCCCCTGAGAAAGAGGACCATGTTTAATTATTAAAATAGTCTCTGCCTGGCATCACTTTCCCACCCTACACCTTGTCTCTAGGTATCACAAGATAGAGGAAGAGTTATCCTCATTCATGTTTTTATCTGTTAAGTAGGAAAAGACCTCCTAAGGGCCAAGTGAGCTCACCAAATAGATGGGCAAGAATACAACCATGCCAAGTACATCAGGAAAACAGACCGAAATGTTTGGTGACCCTGACTGATGCCCAGGTGTTATGGTCTGCACTAAAATATGTTGCTGATGTTCTTGAAGAGCTTAGAAGAAAGGCCACCCATGTCAGGATTGGCAGTAGTTACTGACTCCCGTCTCTCTAGCTTTCCCTACCTGATGTCTTCTTCAAGTTTAAACCTGGATCTGAGTTTGGGACAGGGAAAAACAGAAAGGAAGTGGTAGAAATGCTGTTTGTACAGCAGAATCAGCATTACCTTCCAGCCCAGAGTCTCAGAGCGTAAACACAGACCATGCAGAAGGCACCAAGGGGCTATGGGAGAGCACAGCAAGACACACACACATGCAGGAGAAGCAGACGAGGAAGTGAGCAACTGCCTTGCTTCCTTGGGAGCAGGGTCACTTCTTTGCTGTCCCAAGATTCTTGTATTTACAATTATCTTGCCTTGTCTGAAAATTACTTAGTTTTTCTGAGTCCAGACAATCTGAAAGTTTGTCTCCCAAACTCTTTTATTCAGAGCCACCAATCCAGAGTGGTTAGGCAAAAATTAGAAATGTGATTCTATACACCAAGGCCCAAGGTTTAACACATTTTTCTCTGTAACCCATAGGGAGCAAGAAGCTCTAGAGGCTCCAAGAAACTCGTGGCTCCTATCTACTGTAGCTTTCACTTTTAGTTCACTATGTCTTTTGTCCAAGGCAGCCTAGAAAAATGTAACTATCTGCCCAGAAACCAATATTAAAGAAGGGTGGCACCAGCCTTAATGCACCATGCAAAAAAATAAAATAAAATGGTCAGAAGAAGGAAGCTGTGGATACAAGCATGAAGATTCCAGTTTGTGATGAGCAGCACACTGAGGAGACAGAATAGAGTTTCCAACCCATGATAAGAAAAACCCTTTAAAAGACAACACAACCCCTCTGAAAGATGAACGTACTTAGCTTCCTCCACTACCTCCACCTCGGCATGAGCGGTGATTGGTGCATTTGAGTGAGCTCCAGTGGGGTCATCAACATTCAGCTCTCCATTGGTTGAGCTAACCACCTGAAACAGAGACAGACTGCAATAAGTACCATGGCTGTATGAAGTTCCTGCCTCCACCAGAGTAGATTAAGAGAGATTAGGTCTCACACTTAGGTACTAACCAGACAGGGTGTGGAATGTGTGTTTACTTGGGTTAAGGGAACACTGTCCTGATTTAGGGAGGGTTCCTAGACCTACATCATGTCAGAACACTTAACTCAATGATATCATACAATGATGACAATTAGCTTCATATTGAGTGCCTACTTTGTGCTTAGCACTCTGCTACACTATAGGTGTGTGTATATATTTAATCCTTAAAAATCCCTTACTTAATATGTCATAATTACTTGTGTGTATTCAAGTGTGCATGTGTGCACGAGGGTCATGTGTATGCATATGCCCATGCAGATCAAAGGTGAACACTGGTGTCATTCTTGAGGAACTTTCCACCTTATTTTGGGAAAGAGTCTCTCACTGGGACATGTAGCTTGCTGATTAGGCCAGGCTGGCTGGCTAGTGAAACCCAGAGATTCCCAAGCCTCTATTTCTCTAGTGCTGGGATTACAAAGGACAGGCTACCACTAGCTGCCTTGAAAAACAAGAGGCAAAACAAAACAAAAACCAAAAACAAAAACCAACAAACAAGCTGGGAGGTAGTGGTGCACACCTTTAATCCCAGCACTCAGAGGCAGAGGCAGGCGGATCTCTGTGAGTTTGAGGCCAGCCTGGTCTCTAGAGCAAGTTCCAGGAACCAAGGCAACACAGAGAAACCCTGACTCCAACCAACCAACCAACCAACCAACCAACCAACCAACCAACCAACCAACCAACCAACCCTAAGTTCTAGGGCTCCAATTCAAGTCCCTGTGGTGCAGTAAATACTTTACCAACTGACCCATCTCCCTGGCTCAATTACTTAAAACAAAACAAAACAAAACAAAACAAATTATACTTATGTGTATGTATGTGTTAAGGGGTCAGTCTCAAGTGCCACAGTGTGTATGCGAGGTTGGAGGATAACTTACAAGAGGTGGCTTTCTCTTTCTACTATGTGTTTCATGGCTGTTGAACTCAGGTCATCAGGCTTGGTGTCAAGTGCATTTACCTACTGTGCCATCTTGCTGTCCCCCGGCCCCAGTTATTTCCCTTTAATGGACAGGAATACTACAAAATGTCTTAACCAAGGGTTAAGTTAGGATCTATAGGCTTTTATGGTTTCCACCTGTGTCTGTCCACACAGTCTTTCATTTTTCAAAAATGTGTATAGTTCTGTATTGAAAAAATAACTGAGCCAGGCGGTGGTGGTGCATGCCTGTAATCCTGCACTCAGGAGACAGAAGCAGGCAGATCTTTGTGAGTACAAGGCTAGCCTGGTCTACAAAGCAAGTTCCAGGACAGCCAGAGCTGTCTTGAAAAACAACCAACCAACCAACCAACCAACCAACCAACCAACCAACCAACACCAACACCAACAGCAAAAAATCCCCACAAACCCTGTATAGCTACTTCTAGAGGTTAACTCATTTGCTCCCTTGACCATGGTGGGTAAATTCTACTACTCTCAGTTAATTATACTACATAATTATATACTTTGAGTAATGATGACTTAAAAAATAAATTCTCAAAAAGAAACCAAGAGTGGGCATCAGAAACCATAAATAATGGCACTTTCCTTGAGAAATTTCTTCATGGCTTTGATCACTGGTTTGAAGTTACTCAAACAAGAGTGCTACACCCTCTCTGTTGAGAAGGAAGACGGTAAAGACAAATTTCCCTTGGAAAAGCAGTCTTATTTCAATGGTCTTTATTTCAGGCTCACTGTCATCCTATGTCTCACTGACGGTCCCCGAACTGTAATTGATGGCTCTCATTCCTGTCATCTGGTTCACGGACCCGTTCAGGCTTGTCTTGCTTGTGCAGCTGCTTCTGCCACCTGGTTTCAGTTCCAGCACATGATTCCTGTTTATGTGGGTGCTGGGGATTGGGAAAAGGGACCCCGCACAAACCACTCTGCTGTTAAAGATCTTGGCTGAAACATGGGGAAGAACCACAAAATAGGATAAATGGTTCAGATAGCTTATGCTATTGGGTAATAACTTCATCTATTTGAGACTATTCTTATAGACTGATGTGAGGAATACATAAGGAGTGGATTGGGGACACCTTGTATATAATACTGGAGGAAGTAGGAAATAGTAAGAACTGCATTATAAAATTAGGCAGTGGGGGCTGGAGAGACGGCTCAGCAGTTAAGAGCACTGGTTGTTCTTCTAGAGAACCCAGGTTCAATTCCCAGCATCCATATGGTAACTCACAGCTGTCTGTAACTCCAGTTCCAGGGAATCCAACACCCTCACACAGACATACATATAAGAAGCAAAACACCAATGCACATAAAATATAAACAAATAAATCCTTAAAAAAAAATAGGCAGCCATGCGTTTGAATTCTAGCTCTACAGCTGTGGGTACCTGGGTAAGACCTTTAATCTTTCTGTACCCCAGTTTCCTGGGGGAAATGGGGAAAGAGTGATGTTTATTCTAATGGGGTTACCATGCAGGTAAGTGACAGTAAGTATTCAGCCCAGAGTCAGGGGATAGAGTAACGGCTCAAAAAATATTCATCTAAGCTGGGCGTGGTGCGTATGTCTTTAATCCCAGCACTCAGGCAGCAGAGGCAGGTGGATCTCCATGAGTTTAAGGCCAACCTGGTCTCCAGAGTAAGTTCTAGGATGGCCACAGCTACACAAAGAAACCATGTCTCAAAGAACAACAACAAAGAACAAAATAAAAAGATTCATCTTACTGATATTCTTATTTTCCTCAAGCTATGGGGTACTTACTAGCAGCTAATTTGCCAAAATTTCCTAAATGATCATAAAAAGGAAAGCAGGAGGAAATGTTTACTACCTTTGGGGCAGACAGAGTGAATGCTACCTACTTGTAATGTATAACCACCATTATTTCTACAAAAGAATACTTACTGGGTTTTTTCTTCTTCCTCCTTTTTTTTTTTTGGAGGGGGGCAGGAAGAACAAGGGTCTCATGCTATAGCTCTGGTCTGGAACCCACAATATAGCCTGGGCTATATAAACTCAATTTACTATATAAATTCATGGCATTGCTTCTGCCTTAGCCTCCACAGAGGTAGGATTATGACAGGTCTAGAGTATCATGTCTGGCCTTATTCTTGTTAATAAGATATGAGTGAGAAAATTACAATAATGATATATGGTTAATGAAAAAAAAAAAAAAAAGAACCCTACTACATTAAGACTTACCTGAGGAAGACTCAAATTTCTGCTAGTGATCACATTTAGTATCTCTGGTTAGTGGATAGCCTAACATTATGCATTAATTATACAACACAATATTTTCCCTTCTCTGCAAACAGGTTTCTTTTGAATCTAATTACAATTTCAAAAATTAGACAAATCCAAGACTTGGACTTTTCAAAAAGGATCATGTTATAAAAACCTTAAAAAAAAATCACTGGTGATTGATAATGATTAAAAGAGATTAAAGTGATAGATGATTAACAGTTAAGAGAGTTTGTTGCTCTTATAAAGGACCTGGGTTCAGTTCCTAGTGCCTACACTGTGGTTCACAATTATGCATAACTCCAGTTTCTAAGGTACCTGATGCCCTCTTCTGACCTCCAAGAGCACCAGGCACATGTGGTGCACTTACATTCATGCAGGGGGGGGAAAAAAAGGTAGGATTAAGAGACTAATGAATTAGGCATGGTGGTGTACACCTAAACTTCCAGGCCTTAGGAGCTAGAAACTGAAGGACCAATATGAGTTGGAGGCTAGCCTAGGTTATACAGTAAGATGTGGGTTAGCCTAGGCTACATAGTAAGACTGTCTCAAAACAACCACAATAAACAAACAAAACAGAGAGAGATTGAAGGACTGAAAGAGATGGGAGAGGCCAAACAACCAATGGGATGCAGGGATCCCGGTTAGATTCTGGACACTATAAAACTTTAAGGACAACTGGAATTTGGGCTGTTAGATATTATGAGATACTAATTTTTTTTTGAAAGGCAATGGAGTTACTGCTTATGTGAAAGAGTGTATTTATTTGTTTTTAGGAAATGTAGGTGGAAGTGTGTGGGGATAAGATACACTGTTTTAACTTTCAAATGGTCTAGAAAGTAAACACATATGCATGCAAACACACAAAATTAAAGTAAATGTGGCAGAATTTTAATACTTTCTTAATGGAGATTAAGGATAGTCCCAACTTTTCTGTAGATTTGAAAGTTTCAAAATAGAAGTTGGGGGAAGTCCAGTATAAAAGGCTGAGAAGGTTAAGGGATTGCAAACCACATCCTGCTGACTTCCTCAGTTCTGCTGTGATTCCTGGGGACATATTTTCTAGCACACCCAACTGTTAACACTGGTGAGTGGCTTATTCTATGAGCACAATGGTTACACATGAAAGTAGTCACCTGAAAAATTTCATTCATTCATTCATTCATTCATTCATTCATTTTTTGCACTACTGGGGAGTAAATCAAAGGCTATGTGTGCTCTAGGAAAGCACTGTAACTGAATCACTAATTCTTAATGAACTACTAAGGACCTAGACAAAATGATATGTAAGGTGTCTTGGCTAAAAGCCAAGTATAGGGGTGCATACCCCTATAATGTCAGCATTCAGGTATCTGAGGCAGGAGGATTGGAAGTGTGAAGCCAGCATGAGCTGCAGAGGAAATTCAAAGTTACCCTAGCATATTTATCTTTCTATCTAGTCAATCCTAATATGAAAGAATTAGCCGGGCGGTGGTGGCGCACGCCTTTAATCCTAGCACTCGAGAGGCAGAGCCAGGTGGATCTCTGTGAGTTCGAGGTCAGCCTGGGCTACCAAGTGAGTCCCAGGAAAGGCGCAAAGCTACACAGAGAAACCCTGTCTC